AAAGTAGGTAAAATATAGCCTTGGAGTTACTTATTTAATTTATTGTTTTTACTAGTGGTTCCTTGCTCTAATCATGTAACATCGATTTGGGATAAGGTTTGAATTTATTCTTATGTATTTTATGTTGAAATTAAAGACCATTTATGTTTGGAGGATTCTAACCTGTTTTGAGTTGATTGTTATAACCCTTTTAATTATTCTATGAAGTTAAAATTTAAGAGACTAAATGTCGTGAGTTGCAATATTGTTGTTGAATAGTTTATTAATGTTTCTGCTGCAATGATACCATAAAATTTTGGGTGAGCATGCGAGGACATGTATTTAAATGCCTTATTATATGAGTACTATTGTACCCCAAAATTTTCCCTCCCATTTTTACTCAACATATGTTCATTGAAATCCTCAACTTGCCCAAGGATGCCCAAGGATTGATCAGCCAAATGCTCTCCTAAGACAATGAACCTCAAACTAGGGTTTCCATTTTCATCAAGATGGGTGAGTCCCAAAGGCCTCATATGCTCTCCATAATCCTAATATGTTCTCAATACCATTCATGCCCAGTTTCATGCCTTGCACAAGAAGTTTGCCTAGTCAACTGCTCAGATGATTGAAAATCAACTATACTAGGTTAAAAGTCAGCTGGGACCCACATACAGTCAAACTTCAAGATTTTTGGTCGACATCAACATTTTTAAGTGATATCCACCATTTGATCAAGGGTTGATCATGATTCCCCAAGGAAGGCCCCTAATTCATTAAAACTCAAAAGTTGCTAAATTAGGGTTTCTCAGGAAAAGTCAACCAAACTTTGACCAGGCATAACTCTCTCATACTTTATCATAAATTTATCATCCAAAGCTAATTTTGAAGAGAATCCAATTCCCTACAACTCATCTTCAGCCCTCAAGTTCAAGAAATGCACTCATGGAAAGATATGAATTCAGACATTATAGGTCATTCCAAAAAGTCAACAAAAACACATTTTGGGTCAAAGCTCCTTACATGAACATGGAAGATCCAATTGAGATAATACCAAAGAGGTTGCTTAGGGGATATCCTAAGCTTTCTAAAAAGTCCAAGAACATTCTCTTAGGGTCAAAATTGGGAGAGATATGCATTGTCAAAGTTGGCCATTTTTGGAAATTTGCCCAAAATCAACAATGCTCAAAATTGCATTTTTTCCCACATGGGCCCATCTTTTCAAGATTGAATCTCAATCCAAGCATGGTCCACGACCTATGGTACCCCTCATGCATTATTCACTCATTTATTTAATTTATTTTGATTTTTATTCATTTTAAAATCAAATAAATTCAAATAAAATCAAATAAAATCAAAATAAATCAAACTTATGGAATGAGATTTGTTTTGCATTGAATTGTAGATTATGCAAGCTGTATAACCTCAAGCAAATCGTGCCAAGCCATAAACAAGAAGAAATCTCCAATTTTGGAAAGATTGGAATCAAAACTTCAAGACCATTATTCTTTGGATTCTTGCCAAAAATATTAACCTAATTGGATTCAATACATATACTGAAGCTTGTTGAACCCTAAGGGAAAGAATTTTCGTGCGCAGCCTGCCTCCAAAGCAAGAAACAAAACTCATTTTTTTCAAAAAGTGCAAGACCTATCTTCTTCCACAGGCCAGTTCAAGGTGTTTTGAAGGTCAAATCATATTCCTGGACGTTCATTGGGGCGATAGCAAGCATTATCAAGGTCTGAAGCATCAAGAAACACGCGCTAGCAACATCACAGTTTGTTCATATTTTTGAAATTGATTTACCCAATTCACGCATGATAAATGATTTATAAGTATATATTCATGTTTGTATCATCCTTTAGAATGTGTTTGCATATTTAATTGCATGTTTTGATGCCTGTTGGATGAAACGCCATTGCTAGGGTTTATAATGTCATTTTAGGGCTTTCAAATGCTGGAATAATTGGATCTAAAGATGGATACTATCATGATCAGAGGATCAAACCCAATTGATCCATGATCTTGAATCTAATTTATATTGCTGGACATGATTTTTGAGATGCGCGGGTTGTAGCTATGGCCAACGTCCGTAGGTAAAGGTCTGTACCTAAGACAACCGTCCCAGCAAGGAAGATGAAGGCCTGGCTGCATACCATTGGCTTGTTTAAAAATTTGCGTGTTTTGTTCTGGGCATAGTGCGCTTTTGCATTATATTATATTTGGTTGGTTTATATTAACAAGAGGCCAAATGGCCCAGTGGTGTGTAGGAAGGTAGATAAGGCATTGCATACGAGAGGTCAGGGGTTCGACCCATGCCTCCAACATTTGTTATTTTTCTTCCAGTTTCCTTGCAGGTTCCATATATCTCACCTTCAGAAGATTACCATATGCCCCTAATCTCATCCTTGAGATCCATCACCATGTAGATCCCACGCCTTAGCCTTGAGGGTCCACCATGAGTCCTCAGGAGATGACTTCACAAGATCAGGCGCCAGTCTGGGCCAGCTTTGGGCCTAACACTAAATTGGCAATACACCCCCAAGTTACTCATCATACCAGGCCCAAATTCCATTATTTTTTTTTTTAATTTCTTTCATTTTATTTATTTATTTAATCATTTGTTTCAATTATTTTACAAAGAGAAAAAAAGTCACTGTTTTTTAATTAAATCATAAAAAACAGAAAATTACAAAAAAAAAACATTAGATTTAGTCTTTTCTCATAAATAATGTTTATTTGCACTAACTAGCTTAATTAGGTCAATTTAAATCTTTTTGTAATTAAAATTTAATAGGAATTAGGTTGATTCGCAAAATTAATTATTTTTCACAAAACAATCAAAAAATATTTTTCCTTTATTCGTAAATTATTATTTTCTCAACTTGACATTAATTCCCCTTATCTAATTCGCCGTGCGCGCGTCTTTACTTTCATTATTTTTTTAATTATTGTAACTGTTCCAAGTTTGTAATAGTTAACTAGGTTTACTATTCCTCATTTATCATTTTTCCCCGGTTTTTGATTATGTAATCCCCTCCCCAAAGCCTTGTAATAGCTAGGGTTTTAAATTTCTTGCTTTTAATTTCCGTAACTATTAAACTGCCTAGATGTATGAATAATAGGATCGAATGACAAGACAAATAAATTTAAAAACGGTAGAAAACCCCAAATGTGCAAGATAAATGAAACTGAAATCAAAACACTTGCACATGCTCACTCCTAGGGTTTTTCCTCACTTGGTTGCCTCAGAAAATAATGGTCGTGTCCCTCGAACGTAGGGATACCTTAGCAATGACCCGCGATTCAAAATCGTCATAAAGATCATAGTCCCTATTTGTCCCTCGAGTTTCCTACGAATTGATCTTATGACGATAGTCCCTTCGAAATGCTAAGGTATCTTTACTTGTTGCCTACAGAGACCATTTCGTCCCTTCGAACGTTGTTGCACCCCAAAATTTGCCCTCCTAATGGCACTTTTATGGCTTAGACTTTTTGCATTCATCTGCATCATTCCAATGGGTCATGGGCATAGCACGCATTTTCATAAAATAGATCACCTGAGGCCCAAAAGACCAACAGTTAGGGATCTAGGGTTTACAACTGGTTTGAGGTGTATGTGTTGGATAAGTTTGATTATCTAGGGTCTTCTCGGTGTACAAGATTGTGGAATTAGGGTTTTGGTTCATGATTCATTTTTTGACTTCTTCTCACCAAAGTTACAAGGCTATTAGGGTCCACCTCTCTATGTGCGAACAAAGATCGGAACTCTCTTCAGTTATCATACTCTGATAGGGGTTCTTCTTCAGGGAACCTCGACCCTAAGACGGGATTTTGCATAGTGATTTGCTTCAAAACAAGGCATGGGGTCTAAGATTTATTCGCAGGCATGGATTCGCTAATAACTTTATTGTGCTATTGGTCATCAAATGGATATGGAAGTTTTGCTTTCCTGACATTCATGGAGCGCACCTCACGGTTGAGTGTTGTGGATCATTAGGAGAAGGCTGTTTCATTTGGTTAAGTGCTTTGCAAGAAAATATTGTGGATTCGATACAAAGACCATTTCGAAGTTAAGTTTAAGCTATTGGAATTTGTCATATATGGATCATTTGGTGCAAACATAGAACGAAGTATAATTGGGATTCAAGATTCCTTATTCAAACGAAATTCATAAGCATTCAAGTTTCATTCGAGATTCATTTTATATTACAAAATCAAGAAGAACACTCTAAATGTCAAATGGACATAAGATTCGAGGGTATCTCAAGAAGACTAGCATTTCTTTTTGAGCTTGTTAACATTCACTAGTATGAAGATCATGGATACGGTTATCTTAAAGATTTTTCGCTATGGTTCAAGTCCCTTCCATCTTCATCTAAGGATGCTCCAAAGGTACTGTTTTGTGTTAAAATCATCAAGCGGAAAAGTTTTGTTTTCCAAATCAAATATTTAAAGATTGAGTTTCCAAGGTCTTGGTTCATGCTGTGAAAGATGAAGTTAAAATTCAAGTTAACATGGACGAAAGAGTTGAATTAGGAAGTTTCATTGAGTTGAATATGGTTCAAATTCGGTCAAAGTTTATATTAGTATTAAAAAATAATAAAAGATGCATTAACGTGCAAATTAAACTACAATCAAAGTTCCAAATTCATTCAATTGAAACTAAATATTTTATTCACTCACATGTTCGTGTTTACAATAATTTGCAAATGAAAATATCATTTCACCATCAATTACCAATACTCATTTGTCTAAATTCAAGCACAAAGTCTATTCAAGGTCTTTACAAAAGTTCGTCCAAGAGAAAATTATAAAGGGATTACAATTGCAAAATCAAATTCACTTTGCAGTTTAAGAATGTGCTACAAAGAGATTACAAAAGATGTCAGCTTACATAGGTTGATCAAGAATCTAACTATAACTATAATCCCTATTTCCCTAAGCCTGTTCAAATTATCTCTTCTCTCAGCTTCATGTTGCATTGGATTCCAAAATGCCTCCATGCCAAAGTCTCACCTTCATGCTGAAATCTTGCGCCAATCAAACATCAGAATCTGGTTCAAACTTGAGATAACATGACATAATTATCATACATTCGCACATGTAAGAGAACCATATTCAGTCCATAATTTACAGAGAAAACCTGTTGTTGAAAGGGTTGTTTTTGCACAAGTTCAGAATTCAGCTACTATTCTAAGGACGAAAAGGAAGCATGCTCACCAGACTTGTACACAAGTCGCTTGTAAATACAAGACTTGAATTCCCTTGCAGCAACTTCAAAGAAGCCTCTGGCTGAACCTGAAAAATGGATTCTTCCTCTTCCGGTCAAAATTCTGCAGTTACAAATAAAATAAAACCTGCATACAAAAATAAAAGAGTCATTAAAAAGCCTATAAAACACGCGTAAATGTTAATGAAGATGGATTTTTGCAAATTGGATATTCTTCAGTAAAGAAAGTAACAGGTGTCAATAGTATTGATATTATGCTTTTGGGAAGTTATACTGTATATTCCCAGAGCAAAGAGAAGACAGCTTCAAAAGAATTCCCAACAGTTAGCCAATTCTAACTCCTAACTAACTGCTAACAAATTCCTAACTGTCAAACCAAGTTTTTCATAACTGCCCTGCAATTAACTTTCTAACAGAATCCAAACTCTAACAAACTTAAAAAAAACTTCCTCCCACCTCCAAACTATTTCCCTAACCAATTCCGATAGCTAACTTTCTCATAACAGAATTTTTGATAACTACCTCCTAACTAACAATAACCACTCTCTAACTGCCAAAGAGAATTCCATAACTACTAACAAACTCTACAGAAAATATATAACAGATTTAGCAGAATGCAGGAGGGAGGATTGACTCTCAGATCCACAAATCACTTATTCACCATGAAAAAACTCAGAGAGGATTTATTATGCAGAAAAATAGAAAAAGGTTCAGAGAATACTCACTTATGAATCTGTCTGAGATTTTCGGAAGAATCTTCATCTTCATTTTCAACCTTCCTTGTTAATGAATCTGGCTTCGAATTACTTGAATCTTCTGCAACTTCTTTTCCTCTGGAATTCCCTCTACAACCTCTCACAATCTTCAACCGCCAATTTCAATCTCTCTGAAAATTACCTTCAATCTTCTGCATCAACACACATTAACATCACAATCTTCATCGTTTCAATCACAGGTTTGCAACCATTTCAATACAGCATATTTCTCTGTCTTCACAGCAACAGTAACAATGAATCCTGCTTCAATAACACAACATCACACAACGCTCTGAATAAGAACAGATCGCGCGTATCAGAATCACACATCAGCGCAACGAAAACTCAGAAATCACAAAAGCAAAAATTAAAGAAGAAGAGGAGAGAATAGAATCTTACCGGCAATGGCTTGGTTCTTCAATCTTGGAGAATCACACCAAAACATCTCTGAAAATTTTCTCTGCTTCCTTCATCGTTCTTCAATCAGTTTCACAAGATTCTCTCTCATTCATTTCTCTACCAATCACCACCCCCTTCAATCTTCTGCTTCATCAACAACGCACATCAAGAACGCCGTGGTTCGATCGAAGTCTCGAAGAAGAAGATTGGAAAAATGAGGGGAATTCGAAAGAATAAAAGAAGGAATCAAGACGTGAAGAGATACATATACCTGAAAAAAGAATCTCTGGATTTCTCGTCATCTTCACTACATTTGAAGTGCCGTCGGAGCATCTCCAACTGGTTTCGTGCCTCGTTCGATTTTTGTTAGACTTTAGGTAAATGGAAGAGAGGCAAAGAGGAATCGCCGAAAAAGAAAGGAAGTGATCATCGTTCGCACTAGAGAGGAGTAATCTCCACAGCACTGTGTTGATAAGAGAAGAAGGAGAACTTGCCTCGTGTGAAGTTGAAGGGACACCCCCTTTTTTCGAACCCTAATACTCTTCAGTCTACGTTGATTTGTTTAATTATTTTTTTAATTTTTATTGAATAAGAGTCCAAAAATATATAATAAAACAAGTATGCTAAAGATTTATGTTGGTGTTGTTGATTGGTGTGGGTCGGATTACACCCACTCTCTTGGGCCTGTGTTTTTTTGAAGCAAACCATTACTTCAAGTAGCTTGGGCCTAGCGCATATTTTCCATATCACACCACATGGATTCCAGCTTGCACCCCTTGAGCTTGTTCTTTTTTTTATTTTGCAATTTTCTTTTAATTTTTATAATTGTTTGATTAGTTTGAACTTTTTCTTCACATGATAAAAAATGATAAGATCAATAAAAATTTGTTAAATTTTTTATATTTGATTTTAGTAATTAAATCACGATTATCCGATTACTTGAGATTTTGTAATTCACCTTTACTTGTTGAGATTTGAGTCTTATACAGGTTTATTGTGTGATATGAGGATATTCTTAAGATTTCGATTATGATTTATTTTCACATCGATGATGCTTCGACACTTATTCCGAGCATTTGATTTTTGACTCTTCTATGTTGCTTGTTGAAGCTTACTCAAAGTTTCCCGGGTTTCTCTGCTTTACTATCGGTGCTACGAACTTTTATTCGTCTGAGCAGCTTTCGGCAGAGTTTTCTTATCACTTGCGTGGCTTTGAAAAGGCAACGGACCTTCTCCGTTCGGTATCAACGTGACCCCATTTTATTCTTCATTTTCGCACTTTATTGCTTATTAGTTTTTGCGTTATACTTGTAAATACCATGATCCCTTAGAATATCTCGGCTCAAATTTAATCTTCGATTTAATTGAACTAAACTAGACATTAGGATTCTAAAAACTATGCATGCTAACATTAGGTAAAATTCCCTCAAAATTACAACTTTAGGTCTAACAACGCATGATAAAATTAGGTTTAGAAATAGGTTAGTCTCCCTATGACTTTTCTTTTTTCTTTTCACATATGCATTAAAAAACAAAAACTTCCTTTTTTCGCAAACTCCAAATTACTTAAAAATTGTTGGCGAGAATCGTGCCTTTATTGAACATGGGAGACGATAAGCGGGTCTCTTCTCGATCTTATCGTTTTTTCATTCTAAGTCTTGGCATGGTTCAAGTCTTAAAGAATCATTTCATGAATAAGTAGAGACATGGCTAAAATCTCTCTCTCGAGATCAACTAGCTGTTACCTACAAGCAAAACACCAATCAATACAAACTCTTTTTGCCTTCGGGCCTTCCCTTTTAAATATTTTCAAAAACGCATATTAGTTCACTTCTGTGCTGATGCGTAAATCTCCAAAGGTCGAGTTACGGAAGAAGGCGAAATAAATATCGCTCGTTAAAAACACAATCAAATTCAAACCTTTTTATGCGCCGAGGCACATTTTCTCCAAACTTTTCAAAAACGCATATTAATTCACTTCTGTGCTGACGCGTAAATCTCCCAAGGTCGAGTTGCGTCAGAAGGCGAGATTAATATCGCTCATAAAAAAAAACCTAAACAAATTCAAACTTTTTGTGCGTCTATGCACATTTCTTTCCAAACTTTTCAAGAGAGCATGTTAATTCACTTATGTGCTGACGCGTAAGTCTCCGAAGGTCGAGTTGTGGCAGAAGGCGAAATTAATACTGTTTATTAAAAAATACAAACAAACAAAAACGTATGAGCCGAACTACGGCTGCTCTGATTCCTTAAAAGGGATATGTAGGCATCGGGGTAGGGCCCGAACGAGCACAACTTTTATTTTCCCTACATTATGTTCTCCTTCCTTTTGCATGCATTCTCCTTTCAATAGCAGTAATAAACAAATAAGTATAGATTAAATAAAACACACCCATAAGATAGATAACAAGAGTGGATACCGTAGAGTATTACGGGCGCGTGGGGTGCTAATACCTTCCCCTCGCGTAACAGACTCCCTTACCCTCATCTCTTGGTCGTTCGACCTGGATTTCATCCTTCTCAGGTTTTCTCGATGTTTACCTTTCCCTTCCCGTGGGATAAAATACGTTTGATGGCGACTTCATTGTTTGATGATTTTCAGCCGGTTGTTTCAGCTGGCGACTTCACTGGGGATAGGTCGACCAAATGCTGGTCCATCCCGGAGTCGCTCCTAGCTCTTGCTTTCTTTTCTTTGGGTGTTTTTATGCTTTCAGTTTACTCATTTGTACATGTTTATCTGAGCATAAGTTTGCATTGCATTTTATTGCTTTCCATATTTGTTATATATTATGCTGGATTCTGGTTTTCCATGTTGGGTGGGGATGTTACTATTGAGGTAAAAGGCCCAGTACCCAGGCCAGAGTGCACTAGGACACTAGGAATAGAGTGGGGGCATGACGGCTATAGGACGTGGTCCGATTAGTGCAGTCATGTCATATACCACGCTCGGATGAGGTTCAAATGAATTACTATCGGCACACACGTCTGTGGGTAAGCCCATAGCACTTTCAGGAGGACCCGTGATTTTCGAGTTACCATTGTCTTACCCTGACCTAGTCTTCACCCGTGAGTGGGGAGGGAATCTTATCACAGGTACAATTGGTGACTATGTTCAAGTGGTTACTCGTGCTCAGGTGGTGACTATGTTCAGATGGTTATCCATGCTCAGATGGTGACTATGTTCAGATAGTGACTATGATCAGACGGTGATTATTGGTTCTAATGATCATGTTATAGACTTCTGTCAATGACTTATGCATATGGTGTTCTGTTGGTGACCATATGGTTCTCAGATTTATTTTCTGAGTTCCTGACTTGCTTACTTGGAAGTTCATTCAAGCCTTTGATCTTGGCATTCCCAGCATATTCAGAAATTCTCAACAGTATCTGATGTTCCTGAAGCCTTGATCTCATGCTACTTAGATCTACATAGTACTCAGCTCTTATATGTGCGGAAGCTATGCCGGACCTTTGATTTACTCATATGATTCAGAAGCAGTGCAACAATCATACCCATAAATGATGGAACCTTGATCCTCTTTGATCTCATGCCTTTGTGTACATAACATGGTTGACCACATACTTAGCATACATGTTCTGTGATTTCCAAGGAATCGTATTTGTAAGCCTTATGCCAAACTTTTCCATCTTTTGATTACGTAAAATCAAAATCAAAGCACGTAAATTCCTTGGAAATAACGGAACATGACATGGCATCCGTTCACGCATCCCATGTATATTTATGCATCCATAACAAGTACTCGAAGGTTGGGGATTCTTGCTCAGACCATGTGTTTTCTTCACAGGTTCAACTTGATTTCTTATTATCACATGCTCAGAGATCAGTTATGGAATAACTATGGGTATACATACAAGCTTCGGCCCGTGGACAGAAATCTCTTCAAGCAGGAAGATAATTGATTGAAAACTCAGATGAGCCAGGTCATAAAAGCTCTGATGACGATGTCAACAATATTGCACCTACTATCACAGTAAAGGTTCTCTCTTCTCCTCATCTTTTGGGAATTGCTTCCAACCATGGAGTGCTACGCAATCCTGAGTTCTTAGAACATCTTATCAGGAGATGGTTCCCATTTACTATGTGATATTATATCAGTGCTCCGTTCTTTTTGACCAACGTCAGATGTGGTTGCCACACTGGGGCATCAGACTTTTTAATCAGGGGCATCCTCCATAACTTTGTGTTCCCTAATTTGTTCAACAAGAGCCAGTCTTTATTCCCCAAGTGAATTCATGGGGAAAAGCTTTTAAGCAAAGATAGAAGAATCCTGATGAGCATGTTGATGCAAGCTAAATGCATGACATCCTAGTATTCCCAGTTCTTCCCAGCTCTGATCTTTGAGGACTTCCTCCCACAAACGTCTCTTCTGATTACGATATGTATGCTTGATACATCTCCTATTCTGGGGTACCCGGTTTTGATATTAAAGACTACAAAAGGGTTGAAATATAAAGCCTAACACCTGTTTGGCGTCTCTTCCAAAGGTCCAATTCCTTTTTGGCCAATTTCCACATTCTTTATCACCAGGTGGATGTCTCTTTTTGTTTTGATAGAAGACCGACTGTATTAATCTTTATGGCATAGTATGCCTAATGGTGTAGTTTATATCGATTCGCTTGGAAAAGAATTCATTTGTTCTCTTAAAATAATCCTCTACGCATTTTATCTTGGGGTAATTGATTATTCGATTAAAGATGGTACATCATCTAGAGACAAGGTCCAAAACGAGATCAATCCAGGGACTGTGGTGTCCAAATCATATCATAGGGAGAATTTTTCGCACACACCTCATGCATCTTCATGCATCCATAGAAGGTACTCAGAAGGTACTCAGAATGGGGAATCCTTATTCAGGCCCGGTATTTTCTCTTCATAATTGTGAATCTTGAATTCTCACTGCTCCGTTATCCGAAAAAGCCGCGGAATGACTTCATAGGGAGTTCAATGAGATGGGGTTGTTTGCCATGGACATGCAAATAATGGCCTGTAGTCAGAAATCCTCAAGGAGAAAAATAGCCAGTTGA